GTTATACCTTGTTATTTTGCTTCGATATTTTCTAGATTCGAGGACGTATATTTACATTTTGATCACTTGCGAGAGATATCGGTGTTTAATGAATTACTTTTTTTGGGAATTTAAAATTTGAACGTGTATATTTTGTGTCACACAAAAGATGATCATCAATATTAATACCTAGGCCCGTTAGTGCGATGGTTTACTTCTCGACAGAAAGTTATATTCAATCCGACACTGGAGCGGCTATAATGACATACTCCTCAAGTTAGCATAGAGGGCCACTGTTTTCAGTCTCTTTTTCGATAATTTTGGGCAATTTTTGTTGGGCGTATTTTAGTAGTAAATTCGCGTGTTGTGGACAATCCGAACATAAGCATATATAATGCTCGTATAAGACGACCCCACGTTTTTCAATCATAATTTGCTATTTTAATATTTGATCTTATACGCGAGAATATACACGACGATTGAAATCCAGCCTTACATATCACGTTGTTGTCGTAAATGGCATTAGAAACTTTGTTGCAACCTGGTTGATGTCTTTTTTTTTATTTTATATAAAAATTTACAAATGGCTCCTGTTTAAGTCAATGTCAAACTAATAAAGTGTTTTCTTAAGAATCGCTACACTATTTGTACAGTTTTTTTTTCTGCAATCGTAGCACTGGCGTAGTAGTCTCCGACAAAATAGGGAAAGCTCCCCGATACGACCAATTTTGTGAAAGCGACGATTTACTTACATGCATCGGGATTCGGTTGTTGGCATTCTTTTGTCGGCACTTTCGTTTTTACCATCAATTTGTTTTTATCTGAAGCGACTATGCGACCCACCAACATTTTTTGTGACCCATAGGATGCGGAACGGAGCCCTAATTGACAACTCAACATCGCAGCGTTGTCGCAAAGACGTTGCCTACCTAACAAATAGAAAACGTTCTACAAAACAAATATTTTCGTTAAAAGAAGTGTAAAGTCTGTCTATGTGTTATTTTATAAAATAATTCACATTTATTATTGTCAACTTCTTGTTCATCAAGCAGTGCAAACAATTCCATTTCTGTGATTGAAGTATCAGGGGCGGCGCCAGCGGGGGTCAAGGGGCAAAGGACTCCCGTCGGGGACCCCTGGACCCCTGCTTGGACCCCCTTGTCGAAGAATTTCCAGCAAGGTCGTCGGGGAAAATAAAATCTCGACTGCCGAAAATACAATTTAAGTAGGCCTATCCTTTACTAAGCTCTCAAATTTTAGGGATTAAAAGCTGTTTAGTGCGAGAAGTGCTACCGTATGTGCTAGGTGTTGTACACTATTACGATAAAAAAAAAATACCATATTAAACACAAGGAGGGGTGGATAACTTTTAGGGGAGCTTGGACCCCTTGTTGGGGAGCTGGACCCCTCGTCGGGGAATTCCTGGCGCCGCCCCTGTAAAGTATGCTACTAAAAAGGTGAACGACGCATTCTACAATGTCAGTCTACATTGCTATCCGGTATAACCCAATGTAACAATGATAGAAATCATAACTAAGCAAAGGTTTTTCTTATGATGTGCTCTAAAAATTTCAGTGTTTCCGTCCTATGGAACAAAGCAGCTGCCGTTCCTGGTCAATCTGCTGAAGAACTGCTTCATTCGCAAGTGCCGTCCATGGGATCCGAAGCATTCTGCGGTAAAACCACATCTCTGCGGCTTCCAGTTTTTTCTAGTTGTTTAGACGCCCGAAAATAACCTCATAATCATTTTTTGTTTGTTTGTTTCTTTCTTTCTTTCTTTTTTCTTTTAACCTTCCAAAAGAGGGGGGGGGGCTGCACCCCCCCCCCCAAATTATTTTAATAGATTTGGAAATTGAGTAGCTCTCTGCAAAGACATCAACAAATACAGTTAGAAGAAACACACTAATACTTCTACCGGTTCCTTACGTCAACTTGTACACACGAACTCTTCTAGCCATCGTTATCACACTAATTCCATTTTCTCTTCGACAGATACAATCCTTTGATTTATCGCAAATTACAGTTTATTTCCTTTGATTTCAATAATGTGAGAATACCTCTGGTGATGCACCAGACTACAGAATTTAGGCCTATTACCCCGTTTATACTAGAGGGGAAACAGAGCAATACACTATTTTGTTTATCATCCATACAGAACATTTTTTTATGGTACTAATTAATTGTATAAATTTCAATGAAATTATATAATATGCGTCTTTATAATTGAGGTATTTATTTGGGAAATGCAAGTGTTGGCGTCAGGATCTTTCCACTAGGTCCCGTCCCTTATATATTGTTGCTAAGTCCAAAAACACGTTGATGTACGTGTAAACAAGTGGGTTTATGAAGCAACATATGTTTGTAGGACTCAAGCATATTTCTTACCCTCTTCTGATTGGCCAGAATGTTCAACACTTCCTCTTTTCTAATGTTCAAAACAACGTTATATATAGGCCTACATATATATATATTATATATATATATATATATATATTATAACATGTCATTCACATATATACTGCCTATATTCTTCTATTACATATATATATATATATATATATAATATATATATATATATATATTCCATTATTGACCTCCATAACATCGCTGTGTGAACAAAATAATGTGATGCATTTAATAGTAATGATTAATTAAAGTACATGCTCTGCATTCTGAGAAAATGCACAACTAGCCTCTCCTAATTAACGACTATTCGTTTATTATTATTTATTACTTTTCCATCTGCATCTTTAATCATGGCATCGGATCACCTAAGCTACTTCTTTTAATAAGGTATCTAAAATACTTTGAACTATCTCAAGAAACATCAGGATAAAATATCTTTAAATTTTTAGAATGTATCAAATTCTACCTTATTTTACTTTGGAATGAGATAGTTTCTCCTGTAACTGTTTTCTACATATTAAATTCCCCTACTTACTGGCAAGTCGTTTACCATGTTGATGTTTTGCTGTCTTATAGTTTTCTTACCGTCTAGTGTGTAGAGCCTCAGAAACACCACTCCACTTATTTTTTTTAAACAAATTACATGTGCGTTTTTAAAATAATATAGCAATTATATTTCCAATGAGAGATCTATCATAATATTTATGTTTCCCCTGATATACAGACATACTACAACACTAAAACAGTTTAGTACATCAAACTCTCCAGTTCAGATCGTGTTATAGATCTTCCAAAGAAAACGTCCTCAAGCATCTTCTTATCCACTTGCTTTAAGCAGGGCAAACCGAGAAGAAGTTTCCCGAATCTAGCCGGTGATTGAGGGTTCAAGTCTTGCTCAAACTGTGCTAAGAAAACTTGAGCTTGATCTCGAAGCATCTCAGCCTTCCTTGTTTCTCGTAACTTACCATGGGATTCTGAATTTTTTAAATTAATGTGGACTGAATAATTTAGGAGAAACTAGAGTAAAATGTATAAATGTATGTAAATGCAATAATATACTTTATGTCATGCAACATATATTCCCCATATTGGTTTCAAATGGAAACGTCAGTCCTCTGTTTGGCTTCCAAAGATTCTAAAATCTTCGACAATTAACAGTTTCTAAAGTTAATATAAACACATTTAGGCCTATACAAAAAACAAACTGACATTTATGTTTTTCATAATACATGAAAAACTCTTTCTCTTGTTTAAAGCGTGATTTCAAATTGTTATCAGAATTATACTTGACATAGATACGATAAATCATGTGCGATTTAATAGTAAATAAGATAACGTGACAGAATACGAAAAGAAAAGTACTTTGTGCAAGGTGAAATTTGGCTCTTGCAGCTTAAATGAACTTGGATGGAGAAATCATGGCCCGATAGTCTAAAGCCCTTCCTTCTTACAACAAGTTAAACTTAATGATGCAACTGTGGTGTGTGGCATGCTGTGCAAATGTGTATACTTTCGGGTTAAAAAGAAAATGTATAGGCCTATAGATTTATATTAGTCTGGATGAAGAGGTGTAAGGTTTCTTTGCGTTTGTTTACTTTGTGTTCTATAAGATCTCACCTGGCTTTAGTATCAGTATTGTCTTGAGCAGTGCAAATTCTGGTGCATTTAAATTTAATGATCGTATCATTAATATTATCTTACGAAGATCGTCGATGAATTCAGAAGGAATTTTCATCTAAGAAAAGAAACAATAAATAGGTTGAAATACATTTACAAGGCCTATTTTATTGATTCCATTACCTCAGCCAACGAAGTTATGTATTTACCATGTATGTCTCTTTATTAGCAGATTTGCGCAAAAACTAAGGAATGGTTCATCATAACAATTAGTGGAATTGTACATAATAATGATTTACGTTTGAGAAGAAAGATTCAACGAAAAGGGTCAGGGTCAGTCAAGAAAATTCGATTTTTCCCCCTTGAACTTATTGCTCAGTATCCAGACACAGCAGAAGTATGCACTTTATGGAGTGTCTGCTCTAGTTTGTTTGGTTTTTTATTGTTTGGCATGCTTAAATTTCTACTCTTTCAAAAACCTTAATTGCGGGGGGGGGGGGGGGGGGGGGGGGTGTGCAGAGGGTGCGGTCGCACCCCTATATTGTATTAAGAATATTTACTTCCCATTTTTTGTACGCATCCCTACCGCCATGCATTCGCTGTATATTAGGTTTCTTCCAGAAGATACTTTGAAATAATATAATTTCAAGAAAGCAATTCACTTTTCCCTAGAATCATCAGACGTGTTATAGTGACAGAAGAGGGATGATCTGTTCGCAAGATCTACTTACCTTTGACGCCAGATGTGCTCCGCTCGTACTAAGTTTTAAAACGGCTGAGTGCATGTCTACGATTGGCCACAATGCTACGTGGAACAAGAACAGCTCTGACCACGAGTCTTCGAGGAGAATCATTCTATCGTCTTTATCAAACAGTTGAAAGACGTAAATCGAAGACATCGAGTCAACCAGAAGTTGTAGGATCTTAAATGCTGTTTCTTGAAGATATTCGTGGTCTGACCTTAAAGAGCCAATGCTTGCCATTGTGTGGCACGTCGTGCTTGTCGGGTACGTAAGCAGACCGACTTCACTATAACCTACATATGTAAATAAATTCACAAACAGTTTCTGTTCATATGCAGAAACATACAGAACATAGTAAATATACGAAAATCGTGAAATAAAGAAATAGATTTGCAGTATCCGTTAAATGTATTTGTTTTTTAAACTGAACTAGCCTCAGCTCAATTCTTTCCCAAATTCTGGAAATAGTGTCCCTGCTTGAGTTCTTCTCTATTTTTCTCTATTTCTGAATACGAGTCTACTTACCGTAGCTCTGGTGGTGGCACTGGTCATGAAACAATGACATCATTGCAGACGGTAAGGGAGATGTGACGTTGGTGGCTATCATGTTCGACGACAAGTACGTCTCGCACAATCGACTCTGCAGAAAAGAAGCATTGTTTCCTTGTTGGTGTAGGACTGCACGATGGGCAGTGATGTATGGGTCTGCCCCAAGAGACCGTTTCCAAGGCTGAAATGGAACAAAAGCTGACGTTCCACATTCACCTCTGGCCCTCTCTGTGCCGATTTTTTGGGCACTATTTCTGTTTTCAACTGGTACATTCTGGCTGTTGGTGTTTGATTTGAGATTTTGGCTACCAGTCTTTTTCTTACGAGGTCCTCTCTCTTCCTGTACAGCTAAAGTAATGACAACAAACAATTATGGTGTTACACACACACCCATATATAGGCATATTATACACATCT